CTTTGCAGACTGTCCCTCACGTTTTGATTCAGGGCGTGCTCCTTTGGCAGGAACATCACAGAAGTGACACTGAGCCCTCAGTGCATCCTGTCAGGAGCCATGTGCCTCATTAGTGGCAATGTTTCCTTTGTAGCATTCGTCTTACTGTAGCAATGTTACCTTCGATTACTTGATTAAGTTGCTGTGTGTGCCAGGTTTCTCCACTGTAAAGATAGTATTTTATCCTTAAGCATATGATGGGGAGATACTTTGAGACTAAATATCCTCTTCTCCACAAACTTTCACACACTAGTCTCAGCGTTCGTTGATGATTCTTGCTTGAATCAGTTATCATTATAATGGCCAAATGGTGATTTTTCTAGTTCGATTATTCCTTGTATGTCTGTTAGCTGACTTTGCACTTGTAAGGCAGAGCAATTTATCTCAGTATGGGCTCATGAATCTTTGTTTTATTCAATGGGCTATAATCCTTTATGTTAGTAGTATTTATTTTGATGTCCCAGTTGTTCACATTTGGCCAGTAGACCTCCTGCAAGCTGTCTCTTTTGTCCTTTTGACCTGTCCCTGTCATTCTTTAAGACTATCATTGTTTAAAGGTGGCTTTTTCTGGGTGGGTTGAGTCTTTTTCTATTGTCCCCTGACTTCCTGATGAATACCCAGTCAATTTCTCTGCCTGGTTAGAAGACTCTGACCTTCCCTGATTTTCTCCCTTCCCCCCACCTCTAACACTTCACCCTCCCACCTACCCCCACCCCCCACCTTGCAAAACAGGATTTTGCAACAAGGAAACTACACTAGTAACTGATAGGACATTAGCATGTCATCTTCAAACACAGGACTATGTAACTTCAACAGAAAAAACAGGACAGTGTCAACCCCCAACACAGGACTCCAGGAGCAGGCAGACACCAGCAGTGGATGGACACAGCCGTCCTAATGGTGTTTGTTTTTCCCCTGTGTAAACCAAGCAGTGGTTGCAAAAGATTTGCCCTTTGCCTCCCTGTTACTTTTTTACACTCCAAAGAGAAAGAAAACTTTGATTCTGCTCAGTAATAAGGGGGACCCAACAACTGAGTTCTTACCTTTAAGCTAGCTGCTGTCAAAAGGGAAGCAGGGAAGAAAGCAGGTGGACTGCTTGTTTTGGACTCAAGCTTACTTCAAAAGAGCTTGCATTAGTTCCATTTCTATGTATCATGCTGGATGAGGAGTATTTCCTTTTTGCGCCTGAATGTAGGAGAACTCCTTGCTAAAAGCAAGATCTGGTTGTGAGAGTGACAAGTGAAAAGAGAAACGAATTGAATTTGATATGACACATCATATAAGGAAGAATAATTGTAGATATGGCTATGCAGGGTTTGGGTGGAAATACATTAGTCCCCACCCTTTTCGTCAGCGGGTCACAACCTTGGACGTTAGAGCCTTTCTCATTGAGAGAAGGAATGTTGCTAGAGAAGGAAAGCACAGGCCAGGTGAAGAGAACAGAGCCTCTAACCAGGAAGAGGCTGTCCCCACAGCTCCAGAGGCACACAAGCATGGCCCTCAGGTATGAGACCAGGTCTGTGGGAGACCCACGTGGTGTGCCTTAAAGGCAGGCAATAGGGCAGACAACAAACTGGAAACTTGATCCTGAAAGGGGAAAAACCATCGAGACATCCTAATTGCATGGCTTTGAAGAACAATATAGACCCTTTGGTTTTCCCCAGGGGAAAGGAGAACCTAAAAGCACAGATGATGTATAATATCTGTAAGAAGCAGGGAAGTGGTGGTTTTTGAGTTGGGCTGTTAAATTTCAGCAATCATTTCATCTCAGTGCTGGTTGCTCGTGTGGCCTCGGCCACAGCAGCAGCAGGTGGGGATAGGCTGGCCAGCTCCACCCCGGGATGGCTCCCCAGGGCCGGTCTTGGTCAGCCTCTGAGGAGCTGGGAACACAAGGTGTCACTTAAGACTTACCTGCCTGCCTTTCTTTCTTCCTTTCCTCCTCCCTTTTCTTTTCTCTTTTCTTTTCCTTTCTTTCTGTCACTCTTTCTCTTTTATTTATTTATCTATTTCAGAAGAAAACCTTCCACTGTACAACTCATGAACTCACCATCATAAAGTTGATGTAAGATTTTTCAATGATTAATATTTTATGATTGCTTTAGTTACATTACAATCCACAGTCTGCCCTCTTTACCCTCGGTGGGAGCGCTGCCGCGCTTCCAAGCGGCGCACTGTAGCAGTGTGCCACCGGGCCGGCCCTCCTCAAACACTTCTAAGCCCTTTTTTGCTTCTCTGACTTTTTTTTACTACCTGTCCTTCTGACTTTTTTTTTTTAACAGAGTCCAAGAAAACACAGGTACTGCAGGCATGGAAGGGTCAGGATTGTAGAGCAGGTTGTGGAGGGGGAAGGGGACAAAGGAGAAGACAGGAGGAGATGAGGGAGGGGAGGAGGTGCACATGTCACTTTTATCTATCCTATCTATCCAGCCAGTCTATAAATTATTAGCAGAAAATGGGCATAAATGGGAGCAGAAGCTGGAACAAAATCCTGGGCTTTGGAAATGGGGTAATTTAATTGAGAGTGCTTTGAAAAAGTAAAAAGTTGTACACACATTTTACTGGCTAAGCCCCCCAGTGATTTCTCTCTCTATGAACTGTTGTTGAACTTGGAGTCTATGTCTTTCAATTGGTGTCACAGTTGATAGCAATATACCATTTGGCCTTTGTTCCAGAAAGAAGTATTGCTTGGTGTTGTTCATGTTCTTGTTTGTATACATATGTTGTGGCAACTAGATTACATCTTTCTTGGGTGTAAGGCCTCCGTGTTCTTTTTATTTTTAATATGTTGTATCCAAACAGGATTGGATAATACTACTGGTCTATGCTTATCATAACTATTAACTCATGTAATCCCCAAACAATGCAATATGGTGGGTATATTCTTATCCCCCTTTACAGATGAAGTAGCTGAGACCCAAAGTCACACAGTGAGTAAGAGGCAGAGCTGGGCTATGAAGCAGGGTTTTCTGTCCCCAGATCCCACCCTCATAATGCCTGGATGCGTGATCAGCGCAAATTGAAAACATCTTGAATGGTTACTGACACACAAAAGGCTCTCAGGTACTGCTGTCATTTTTAATCTATAGCCATTAGATAATGCTCATTGAACAAATATTTAACAGCTTTCTACTGTTTGCCAAGTACTAACCCAAGTGCCAAGGAATCAGACTTGTAGAAAGGCCCTACCCTCAGAGAGCTCACTTCATAGTGGAAATGGTGGACCCTAAACCAATAAACCTATGACAGAATGTCCAGTAAGATGACATGCGAGGAGGAGAAATGAGGCCCAGTAAGAAGAGAAAGGGAGGGAGGGGGGTGGGGAAGAGTGGCCCTGTGGACTCTTCTACAGGTTGTTAGTTCTCCCAAGAGGAGTTTGGCTGCCAAGGGATTCGGTGCTCAAGAAAACAGTGACTTCGGCACATATTCGTTTCCTGTGCTGCTGTAACAAATTACCGCAAACGTGGGGTTTACAACAACGGAATCTATTTTCTCACAGTCCTAGAGGCCAGAAGTCTGAAATTGGTTTCACTGGGCTGAAATCAAGGTGTCACCAGGGCCACACCCCTTCCAGAGGCTCTAGGTGTGAATGCGTTCTCTGTCTTGTGACTGCCTGGCACTAATCTCTGCCTCTGGGTCCCACTGCCTTCTCTTCTTCTGTCTCTGCTCAAATCTCCCTCCACCTTCCTCTCCTAAGCATACATTAGTCCAGGCAGATCTCCCCATCTCAAAATCTTTAATTTAATTATATCCACAAAGACTTTTTTTTCTTTCTTTTTTTTTTTTTTTTACCATGTAAGGTAACATTCACAAATTCCAGGGATTATGACGTGCATATCTTTAGGGGAGTCACTTTTCAGCCTACCAAAGGGGGGTTATTTAGTCTAACAGACCAGCCAATCTATACTCCTTAAAAGGCACCATTTTCTGTGCCTTCTGAAAAGGCTTCTGAAGTGGCATCCTGGGAAGCTCACCCCTGATGGGAAGGAGGAAGGAGAAAGAACGGGAGACAGCGACTCAGCTGCCCACGAATGGTCTCTGTCTCTGTCTCTTCCTAGTGCTCGCATCTCATGGACACAGAGGAGCTGGGCTTTAGTCTTCTGTCCACTTGTCTTTTTAAAGGCTGTAGATTTTAGAAATGGAGAATGACTTAGAGATCCTGCCACATTCATTTCAAGGATTTTCTGAAAAAAAAGTAGACCAGTGTGGTCAGTTTTAGATAAAGAGAAGATTTTGTTCAGAGGGAAATGATGGGAAAAATCCAGCCTGGAGGCGGGCAGGGGATGGGGGCAGGTGGGGAATGAGTCCCCTTCCACATGGTCTTTCAGCTGCGAGAGAATAGGGTCCAGGAACCATAGCTGGGACCAGCCCAATGATGGGAAAGCCAAAATGGGAGCCATTTAGCACAGATGAAGCTTGTACTCATGACTCCGGCTGTGAAGCTCCTCAGGGCTTGTGTCATGGATCACAATAGATCATCTTATTCAGGCACCTTTCAGTGCTGGAGGAGCCAGTCCCCTGGCAAGGGTCCTTTCAGAATCTCTTACAACCCCTGCCGCTGAGCAGTGGCTGTGCCCTGGTCAGGTTCCTGTATCCTCTGGAAGGTCATGGATCAGAAAACCACACAAGTCCTTTCTCCCCCTCACATTCTTCCACCCATGTTTCCCTCATCTGTAAAAGGGGGAGGAAATACATAGCTCATAAGATAGGGGAAAGGGTCTGGCACAGAGGCAAGTGTCAGTAAAAGTTTGAGAACTCAGAATCGATGATTTTATATATGTGGCGATGTCTCCATTAGCCAGTGCCCTCCCTGACCCACGTGTTACCCTTTTGCCAAAATTTGTGACTATTCATTTTGAGTATCTGGAAAATAAAAAGCAAACTTAATTCCTACTGAAATATCATTCACTATGTTCTCTCCTTTTTACACTTTCTCTTCTAGATGATAACAAAAAGTAATCCAGATGGGGTGCAGGTGCTGTAAAATGATACAAAGGTAAAATTGAAAAATCACTTCGTCTAAAGGGAGGAACTTGTGATTATCAGGAAGTTGCTTTTAAAGACCAGGCATGTATTCAGTGCATTTATCCATCTTGGGGCATGATCCACATTGCCAATAAATTTAAAGCTTAGAACTGTTTTGATGTCATTTAAGAGGACACATGACCTAGATTTTTAAATTTTTTCTGCTCACTACTCAAAGCATGTTGGAAAGGAATGCCATCATTCTCTGAGACTGAATTTGTTTTGGGTTGAATTTACATTTCTCCAGGGAGCTTCAATGCAAATAAAAACTTGGGTTTCAGAGGATGCCTGAAATGGCACCACTGAAAATAAATCACCCTAAGCACGTATGAGGGTATTTCAAAAAATTCATGGAAAAATAGAATTAAAAGATAATATGAATCTCTCTGTGAACTTTTTGAAGTACCATCATATGTGCTTTTAATTTTGTCCATATAACATTTCATAAAAATTTGAATAACATGAATCAACTTCTACATAAGATAAAGGGGAAAAAATTAGCTGATGATCATGCTTTCTTCACAAATAAAATTGTCTTTTTTATCCTAGTTCTATTCCAGACACATACTCCACTGCAATCATAATGTGATATTTGGCTTTATTCAAAAAATATTTAGTATAAGTATCTTTGATACTATTACAGATTTCAGAGTTATTTTAATGATTTCATAATATTCCATTGAGGGGACATACCACCAGTACTTAACTCCTTATTTCCCTCTTAGGGGATATTTATCTACTTTTTTTAATTTTAAAATTCCATGAACTACTTTGTACTAGACACACACACACACACACACAACACACCCTTTTCGGATCTCTTTTTAAGATCTGCTTCCAGTGGTAGAGCATTTTTATACCAGCTATATCTGTTTGATTCAGACACGCTTACATTAATTTAAAAGAGCACCTAATCACAGAAATTAAATTAGTGGGAAGAGTAGAAAGTGCAGAGCCTGTGGTAGGAAGTATTAACAGCGGTGCAAGCCTGACCAATTTGCATTATTCTACCCCCAGCTATCTCTTTGATCCCGTCCAAGTGCCCTCCCCTGGCTACGTCAATGAAGTAAGCAGCTATAAGTTAGATGAAGACACTGTTAAATTAAAAGGCAAACAGAGCAATGAAGTCTTGGTGCATAAAAATGATCTTCAGAGTGAGGGCTTGAAGAGGACCGAGAGCAGAGGCAAAACAGCTGTTCCGCAGGCGCTCCCTCAGGGGGACACTGGAGGGGGACACTGTGCGGACAAGACTGGCACTGCTGCCAATGGCATCAGCCCTGCTGCTGTTCTGCAGCCCCCCGAGGGCTCCGGGGCCGGTCCTGCAAACAACGTTCACCCAACTCAACCCTTCCTGGAAGAAGAGGACTCCGGGAAACAGGGCTGTGTTCTGCCAGCCTTGGAAGAGACTCCAGTCATGCGAAATGGAGACTCCAGAGCCCCTTCAAAGGCACAACATCTTGCCTGGGAAGTACAAGACCATGTCTTCCAGATACCAGCCCCAGATTACCCTCAGCTCTCGGGCCCAGCTGTAGACAATGTTAATCTTGAAAAAAAGGATTTTTTCCAGATCCACACTGAGGATGAGCCCCTGGAGGGAATTTGCCCCAGGCTGGTAGGGCATGATTTGAATATGCCCTTCTCCATGAAGAGAAGCTGGGATTCATTAAATGAGGCCGTGGCAACAGAAGTTCTAAGTGTTTGCTTTAAAGAGGAGGGTCCTGGTCATGCTGTGTCTGTTGACTCAAGAGACGGGCAGAAGGATACCTACTGCTCCAGTGGAGATGGGGGTGGGGAGATGGTGGATGAGGATGCAGCGGTGGCAGAAGCCCTGGCAGCTCTAGAAGCTGCTACTGCTGGAGAAGATGTGGATGAGGCTGATTAGGGGAGGGGGTTTGTGCAGGCAGGTAGGCCAGTGTCATGCTGAGCGTTGGAGATGCACTTGCTCCTTAGACACAGAGCTCTTCAGCATTCACTGGTGCGGCCTTACCAGTTGTTTACATCCAGCCTCTGTTCTGACCGTCAGTACCTGTGCCATACCGTTTGTTCACTATTGGCAACGTCACTCTGTCGATGGACTGTCATTCAGGACACTAGAATTAAAATCTGAGTGGGACATTGTGTCCATGTCCCCAGCAAATGCAGAAATTAAACAGCCTGCTTGCCAACCCTTAAAGCTCTCCAGAACATCTGGTACAGATGTTCATGAGAATGTTCTGAAATCCCAATGCTTAATCTCAAGGACACGCAACCACGGAGCATTCTGTTTGACTGTAAATTCTTTACCATGCTTTTGAGAGCCAAACATTATACCCAACCTGGAAAAGGTAGTTATCCCATTTAAAGTGCCTAATATGTCCCCAGAGCATGGCTTAACTTCAGGGACAATCACCCAGGGAACTAATAACTAACCACTTGTTCAACAGTGAGTTAAGCTTGGCAGCTTTCAAGGTGGAGAAGACCACTAGTAAACAAATGGTTAGTCATTAGCTGTGATGTGATATTAAAACAGCTTGACCTTAACTTTTTTACATTATTATATGTTGCTTTTTAATCTCCTTTGGGATTGGGAAGGCTAGCCAAAATAATTATTAAAACTGCTGGTATCATATTTGGGTTTTAAGTTCATGAGTTTTGGGACCTCGAAGCCATATATGGAGTGTTTTTATGCCATTAAATGTCTCATTCTAATTAAAATATAACATCATATGTGTCTCTTTTTCTTAGCTCAAACGTGGTTCTAATTTTCCCAGACTATCAGTGACCCTTGATGTTTTCAATTTAAAGAACTAGATAAGAAAATTACAGTCAAGAAAGATCAAGTCAATTTGCAAAGCACAGCTTTGGGTCTCTGTCCCTGGAGTTCAAACTCTTGATACCATGACCACATGTGCCAGTCTTGCCTTAAAGATGAACAAGCCCTGTCTGGATTTCAGCCTCCTAATTTATAAAAACAAGGACAGCCATATTGACATGGCTCCTTGGAGAATGTAGAGGAGTTAAGGCCAGTCAAAACTATCTAGAAAAATATAAACACAGAAGATGCTTCAGTATGGAGTTTTGTAACACAGCGTCTGAAATCTGACTGACCTTGGTTTAATTTCCAGCTTTGTCATATGATCTTAGGCAAGTAACTTAACCCTTTTCTTTGTTCATCTCTTTAGTGATAATAATAATAGTATGTGTTTATAAAGACTAAACAAGAGCATGGAAGTGTTTAGCACAGTGCCTGGCACACAGTAGGCACTTTAAAAATTATGTCTTAGTAGTGAAAAGCAAATCCTTTAAAAATGTTTTTACATCCTCACAACTGAAAACTAAGACTATGAAGTATTTATAATTTCGTCACTTCCTTTTGGTAATCATTCAACATAAAACATGATTTCTGAGCTTTCCAGCATCTTTAAGGATAACACTCTTACAAATACTTAATGAACATACATTACCCTGGTTGTCCTGGTATTACAATGACAAGCCATCTCTACATACAAGGTCACTCAGGGCCCTTAAAAGATAAACTGTTGGCATTGTTAATTACATTGTAGGGGTGTTTTCTATTTTATTTAGTACACGAAATGCTTCATATTTCAGAGTGCATATTCCTTCAACAGTGTCCGAAGTATATCAGTTGGGATTATGTTCCTCTACATGCGACAAATGGTTTATGCAAATAAAGGTTTAACTTATCTTTACGTAAAACAAATCTGGAGGTAGCATTCCTGGCTAATAGGGCATTCCATGTATCAGTGATCTATGTTCCTTCAATCATTTTGGCTTCTTCCTCAAGGTCACCTTGTGGTCTAAAATGGCTGCTGGGGCATCAGTCATTACATTTGCATTCCATGAAGGAAAAAAAATAATAAGGGGCCAAAAATCCTATTCACTATTCAGGACATCCCAGAAGTATAATTCAACCCTTCCACTTATACCCATTGGTCAACATCTGGTAACTAGGCCACATCTAGCTGCAAGAGAGGCTAGAATAGTTGTCTTTCTAGCTGTGTGCATGGCTTTCCCAAATAAATCCAGGGTTCAATTACTAAGAAGGGGAAGTAAACACAGTTTTGAGGTGGTCATCTTATAGTCTCTGCCACACCAGGTCCTCAAAACCCAAAAGCCTGGGATAGAGCTAGTTTGTAAGAGACTGAAAGAGTCTATCTACATTTATCATGACACAGAAGGGGCTTAAGCCTTTGTCCAGAGGAAAGAGGACTGGATAGCTACTGCCATCCCAACTTTCCTCAGGAAATGAATGAAAAGAAAACTCAGATGAGGAAGGGGTAAGGTAAGGTATTCGTGCAGACAGGTCTCTTTCCCTTACCCAGAAACACTCTTCTTACATAGGCATATAATTTTACATTTTGGAACTGTTGCAGAGAGTTCACCGTAATTGACAACTCTATTAAGTTTTAAAGAGTCTTTTTTGCAAATAACAACTTCAAAAAGGTAAACATATAGCCAAGAATTTCAAACATTTTTTAAAGAAGCAATTCTGGCCTCTTTCATCTTTACCCCAGTATTCAGACTCCACCAAAGGACATCAGAGGAATGTCAGACTATCTAGGTTGAAAAGAAACTCCAGATTTTAGCTTTATCCATCAGGTTGTCTACCATCTTGCTGTGTGTAGTACTGTCTTTCAGAAGTTTGACGCTGCCCCTTTTCAGAAAAGTGATGTTGAAAATGGTGAGCCTTTTCAAACATTCTGGACAATTTGAAAGCACAGACACTGATTCTAAGGCATTAATTATGCTCAGGTGCAGATATCCCAGTTCTGTACTACCCTTAGCCAATTACCCAACATGGATATTTACCATGTTAAATTTTGATTTTGATTGAAGATTCCTATATTTATATATTACATATAGGTTTCTTGGGCTAAGAAGTTACATTTAACTTTCAACTGGGGGAAATTGAACTATCATATAAATATGAAATTGAATGTTTTTCCCTGGTTGCCAAGGCAGATAGTAGCAAATTGTTATAACTGACAAGCCAGATCTCCAAAAGAATAAAGAGAGGTGCTGGCCCATTAGCTCAGTTGGTTAGAGTGCAGTATTATAACACCAAAGTCAAGAGTTCAGATCCCCCATACCAGCCAGCAGCAAAAAATAATAAAGAGAATTTTTGGTTTATTACATAGCACATGCCCCTTTGTCCATGGTCAGTGAGTGTCGGTCATTCATCATTTCCCTCTTTCTGCCCCACTCTGGATCTCTGTTCTCTTCCTACCTCTTCCATCATTACCTCCAAGCAGGAGACTGTGGGACAAATGAACTAGACACCAAATGCAAGTACATGAGCAAATGTCTCCTGACTTCCCTAGTTTGATCATCGGTGTGCAGCCACATAGCAGGTGGAACAGAATCTCTACTGCAGCACAGGATGTGGCCTCTATCTGGTCCTGGACTTGGACTCCACTCTTCACCAAGGGGGCTCCTATTTGCACAATGAGTATGATAAAATGTAAACATTCTTGCTTTCTGGGTTTTTTTTTTTTTTTTTTCCCTCTAGATAAAACCTCATTCATTTTAAAATCCTGTATTATGGAGTCAGTGACAATTAATCACAGGTAAGCCAACATTTGTTTTTAATGGTAAGTGCTTTCCCTGTAATCTTAGGGAAAAATAAGTAGCTCTTTTATTTGTTTACTAAATTTGTGAGTTTCTCCCATGTATCAGGTTATACATAGCAGACACACCTGAACAGTCTGCTAACTTCTCAAGCATTCCCCCCACCCCCGCCACCACCGTCCACTTTAAGGAATATTGTATGCAAGCCAGTGTGCTGACTACAGGTAATTCCTACCTGAACATTAAAGTAAGTCACTTGGAGTCAATTACTAGCAATTTTTTTTCAGCTAAATTGACTATACTAAACAAGTACCTTTCACCTAGATCTAAGAAAGTATATGGCACAAAGTGGTAAATCAATGTTATTGGTTGAATGACAGAATGAAAACTCTTCACAGTCTGGTTGAGGAGACATCTTGCAGCTAACCAAGAATTCTGAATGCTAATTAGGAGACTAGTATGGTGTAATACAGGTATAAATGCAGGCTGTGGGAATGAAAATCTATATGAATTTGAGAGAATAGAATTTACTTTTATTGTCCAGGCTCTTCAATTTCAGACTAGCTGCTCCATTTGACCAATTTCTGGTGCCTGTGCAAAGCTGGACAGAGAGTAGAATTTGGGCAGCTGGTGAAGGTTTGGACTTTATAATAGTCCATGTTACCCTGAGGGCAGTTATCCCAAATTGAGACCAAAACCTTAAGAAAACTAATGTTTGGTGTCTAGCAGTGGGGAGCTTGGCTGACCTCATTTTTCAGTCATCTTGAACTCAAAATAAAGAAAGGATGTGTATTCGTGTAATGAGACTCAAATCTCACATTTCTCCTGGCTCCTACAAGCGGGATAAAGGGCATGGGGTTGGCTGTGCAGTGACACCTGCAGCCATGCCACATCTCCTCCAGGTCTTCTGAGGTTCTGACCACCTGGCAATTGCCTGGCAATTCACACACATGAGCTTCTTTAATCCCGATAAACTTGGGGTGGGATCAGGCTGTGCCTCTTGCTCATTGTATGACCTTGGGTCTAAGTTTCTTAAATTTTCTAAGCCTCAGTATCCTCATCTGTAAAGTGGAGCTCATTCCTGTTTCCCAGAGTTGTAAGCAGACATTCTCTGTAAGCTCCTGAGGCATGTGGTGTCCTTATCAAAACAGCAGATTTTTGTAATTCAGTAGGTCTCAGGTGGGGCTCTGGCATCTGTAACATTGATGTGGCAATTCTCCAGTCACACTTAGAGAAATACTAAGACTATACCAGGGATCCCATACCTTTTTGATCTTGCATCAGTTATCAATAAAAAATATTGCACCTCTTCATATAAGCATGTTTACAAATAAGGGTACTGTCTTCTTTTACTAATATGGTATATACTTTATAGAGCAATACTAAGATGCAATAACAATTAAATATCAATCAGAGTTTTGATATTTTCTTCCCATACCCCATAGTAGGGTATGTGAAACCTACAATGGAAACCACTGGTTTAGAAGATCAAATGAACTAGTATATACAAAAGCACTTCGTAAATAGACAAAACTGGGCTAATGTTTTTGACAGCATGTTAAAACATACACATGCGTGTGAACCATGCACTTAGAATACAAGCACACAAAAATGCACACCCCATACCACTCACCTGCCACTCTCCACCCCCACCTGTGCTGCCCTTTGAGCCTGTTTTTTAGTAGACTTCTGTATTTCCTGCTTTTAAGCATTTTGGAATAGCTAATGTAGAATTATGGGTAAAATATGACCTAGAGATCAGAAGGTAGACAAAGAATTTTACTCATTTCCCTGATCCAAACTGCACATTTCAAACTAAGATGAGTGAGACTTTTGGGGGACAGGCTGATTAGAATATGTGTTTAGTCAGAATCTTGCTACTTTGAAAGCACAACAATCTAGTTTCTATTGGCATAAATTACCAACTTCTAAAAAAATCCCAGAAAAATAATTCCATCCCCAAGTCCTACTCATCCTTTTCCATTCTCTAGAATATTCCTAAAGCTATGGAGAATGGCACATGAAAACCTCAGAACCTACATAAGTAAGGAAGATTTCACAGGCCAAAGAAGGTTCATGGTCTCTGCCCATCAACTACTGTGCTGTCTTAGATGTTGATGCTTAGAAACGAAACAAAA